GGAAGGAAGGAAGGAAGGAAGGAAGGAAGGAAGGAAGGAAGGAAGGAAGGAAGGAAGGAAGGAAGGAAGGAAGGAAGGAAGGAAGGAAGGAAGGAAGGAAGGAAGGAAGGAAGGAAGGAAGGAAGGAAGGAAGGAAGGAAGGAAGGAAGGAAGGAAGGAAGGAAGGAAGGAAGGAAGGAAGGAAGGAAGGAAGGAAGGAAGGAAGGAAGGAAGGAAGGAAGGAAGGAAGGAAGGAAGGAAGGAAGGAAGGAAGGAAGGAAGGAAGGAAGGAAGGAAGGAAGGAAGGAAGGAAGGAAGGAAGGAAGGAAGGAAGGCAGGAAGGAAGGAAGGAAGGAAGGAAGGAAGGAAGGCAGGGAAAGGAAGGAAGGAAGGAAGGAAGGAAGGAAGGAAGGAAGGAAGGAAGGAAGGAAGGAAGGAAGGAAGGAAGGAAGGAAGGAAGGAAGGAAGGAAGGAAGGAAGGAAGGAAGGAAGGAAGGAAGGAAGGAAGGAAAGGAAGGAAGGAAGGAAGGAAGGAAGGAAGGAAGGAAGGAAGGAAGGAAGGAAGGAAGGAAGGAAGGGAAAGGAAGGAAGGAAGGAAGGAAGGAAGGGAGGGAAAGGAAGGAAGGAAGGAAAAAGGAAGGAGGAAGGGAAGGAAGGAAGGAAAGGGAAGGAAAGGAAGGAAGGAGGGAGGAAGGAAGGAAGGAAGGGGAAAAGGAAGGAAGGGAAAGGAAGGAAGGGAAAGGAAGGAAGGGAAAGGAAGGAAGGAAGGAAGGCAGGGAAAGGAAGGAAGGGAAAGGAAGGAAGGAAGGAAGGAAGGCAGGGAAAGGAAGGAAGGAAGGCAGGGAAAGGAAGGAAGGGAAAGGAAGGAAGGAAGGAAGGAAGGCAGGGAAAGGAAGGAAGGAAGGCAGGGAAAGGAAGGGAAAGGAAGGAAGGAAGGCAGGGAAAGGAAGGAAGAAAGGAAGGAAGGCAGGGAAAGGAAGGAAGGAAGGAAGGGGAAGGAAGGAAGGGAGGAAGGAAGGAAGGAAGGAAAGGAAGGAAGGAAGGAAGGCAGGGAAAGGAAGGAAGGAAGGAAGGAAGGAAGGAAGGAAGGAAGGAAGGAAGGAAGGAAGGAAGGAAGGAAGGAAGGAAGGAAGGAAGGAAGGAAGGAAGGAAGGAAGGAAGGAAGGAAGGAAGGAAGGAAGGAAGGAAGGAAGGAAGGAAGGAAGGAAGGAAGGAAGGAAGGAAGGAAGGAAGGAAGGAAGGGAAAGGAAGGAAGGAAGGAAGGAAGGAAGGAAGGAAGGAAGGCAGGAAGCAGGAAGGAAGGAAAGGAAGGAAGGAAGGCAGGCAAGCAGGGAAAGGAAGGAAGGAAGGAAGGCAAGGCAGGGAAAAGGAAGGAAGGAAGGAAGGCAGGCAAGCAGGGAAAGGAAGGAAGGAAGGAAGGCAGGCAAGCAGGGAAAGGAAGGAAGGCAGGCAAGCAGGGAAAGGAAGGAAGGCAGGCAAGCAGGCAAGGGGGGAAAGGAAGGAAGGAAGGAAGGAGGCAAGCAAGGAAAGGAAGGAAGGAAGGAAGGCAGGCAAGCAGGGAAAGGAAGGAAGGAAGGCAGGCAAGCAGGGAAAGGAAGGAAGGAAGGCAGGCAGGCAAGCAGGGAAAGGAAGGAAGGAAGGCAGGCAGGCAAGCAGGGAAAGGAAGGAAGGAAGGAAGGAAGGCAGGCAAGCAGGGAAAGGAAGGAAGGAAGGCAGGCAAGCAGGGAAAGGAAGGAAGGAAGGAAGGCAGGCAAGCAGGGAAAGGAAGGAAGGAAGGCAGGCAAGCAGGGAAAGGAAGGAAGGAAGGAAGGAAGGAAGGAAGGAAGGAAGGAAGGAAGGAAGGAAGGAAGGAAGGAAGGAAGGAAGGAAGGAAGGAAGGAAGGCAAGCAGGGAAAGGAAGGAAGGAAGGAAGGAAGGAAGGCAGGCAAGCAGGGAAAGGAAGGAAGGAAGGAAGGAAGGCAGGCAAGCAGGGAAAGGAAGGAAGGAAGGCAGGCAAGCAGGGAAAGGAAGGAAGGCAGGCAAGCAGGAGAAGGAAGGAAGGCAGGCAAGCAGGGAAAGGAAGGAAGGAAGGCAGGCAAGCAGGGAAAGGAAGGAAGGCAGGCAAGCAGGGAAAGGAAGGAAGGAAGGAAGGCAGGCAAGCAGGGAAAGGAAGGAAGGAAGGAAGGCAGGCAAGCAGGGAAAGGAAGGAAGGAAGGCAGGCAAGCAGGGAAAGGAAGGAAGGAAGGCAGGCAAGCAGGGAAAGGAAGGAAGGAAGGCAGGCAAGCAGGGAAAGGAAGGAAGGAAGGCAGGCAGGCAGGGAAAGGAAGGAAGGAAGGTAGGCAGGGAAAGGAAGGAAGGAAGGCAAGCAGGGAAAGGAAGGAAGGCAAGTAGGGAAAGGAAGGAAGGAAGGAAGGAAGGAAGGAAGGAAGGAAGGAAGGAAGGAAGGAAGGAAGGAAGGAAGGCAGAGAAAGGAAGGAAGGAAGGAAGGCAGGCAGGCAGAGAAAGGAAGGAAGGAAGGAAGGCAGGCAGGCAGAGAAAGGAAGGAAGGAAGGAAGGAAGGCAGGCAGAGAAAGGAAAGAAGGAAGGCAAGCAGGGAAAGGAAGGAAGGAAGGCAGGCAGGGAAAGGAAGGAAGGAAGGCAAGCAGGGAAAGGAAGGAAGGAAGGCAAGCAGGGAAAGGAAGGAAGGCAGGCAGGGAAAGGAAGGAAGGCAGGCAGGCAGAGCTGAGGTATAAACAGGACAAGCACAGTAGATAACCGTGATATTAGACAGCAAAAGAATATAAAGGCAAGCATCTGACTGTAACTATGCAGACAGCAGTGTCCATGTAATAACACAAGTGCTTAGGAAACAATAGTTCCAAGGATAAACACAAGTCATTAAACTAAAAAGAGATCTACACCCAAGATGTGTTGGCCAGGCAATAACCAGAATAACTGCGAGGCTGGAAGCTCCTTGCTTCTCTGCTGACAATGAATGTGTTTACATCTGGTGGTGGTCTGGGGTAGCAGCCTGGTTAGTCAAGTTGTAATTAGCAGAGCAATTTCTCAGTCACTTTGATGCTGAGTACTGCTTGATAAGGGCCTTAACCCCTTAACTGCGTTGCCTCCAAATATGACACCCCCGCAGTGCGCAGGAAATAAATTCTCTGGAAAAAATTCTTTTTTCTTTTTAAAGTGTCAGAAACCCTTCCCTCAGTATGGGTATGTAAAAAAAAAATCGAAATTGTACTTACTTTGGCTGCTATGGGGTCAGTAAGTTGTGGCGTGATTTCATCATTCCCTGTTCGCCCATGACATACGCTCCCGGGGCCAGTAGGGCGCTCGTGGCGGGACGCGCGAGTTGCCGCGAATATATTTTCGTTCATTTTTTTCGCACAGTTCCATATACATTTTATTTGTTTTTACATGCTAATCCTATGTATAGTGAACATGTACACTACATTATGGCAGTAAAACATCCGTACTGTCCGAAGACACTGTGTTACGTGCATGACACTTGTGTACACATATGCAGCACATATTTACTATGTATCATGCTAATTTATGTATATATACAATCTATTTACACACTATACACTGTCACACACTATATACATTCACCATCAACACACTTAGAACACCTCGAGTGACAGCAGCCACACCCAGCCAGTCTCCCTCACTCCAACATCTTACTCGCCAACATTGCTCCTCCCACCATACTGTTATAGTTCTTATTACACATGTTCTATATACCTATCTACATGTTTTATTTACCAGAACTATGCAAGTAAGCCGGTATTGTGTCCAAACAGTACAGTGGTCCCCATACACTGAATGAAAAATCACACAGCTGACAGCAGACGACGCTACGATTACGTCACCTCCCTCACCAAAATAGCTCCTCTCAACATTCTCCTGTTGCTGTTCTTACATTATATACACACATTATATATACCCATGTACATATGTGTTGCCCATAGCAAACCACTAAGCTAGTATGGTGAGCAAAACAAGAGTGGTAGCCACACACACACAATGAGGCTACCTCAATTCTCGCCCTCCCTCCCTCACCAAAATTCCTCCTTCCACAATACTACGCACAATGCTAATTATAACCACAATCCTGCTATTATCACAATCCTGGTCACTAATTCCTGTAAATGAATAATTGACCACACGTTTATTTTGAAAAGAAGCCTAGGAAATTATTTGAAGATTCCTAGATGGACGAAATAATGCTGTGGTGCTGTGGCTAGCGCTGTGAACATCGTGAACAGCATTGAATCACTGATATTTGAACATTGTACCCAGTCATTATCACACTCAGGCTCTTCTATAATACTATCATGGCTAAGTAATGCAAGTTATATATATATATATACATATATATATATATATTGACATTATTAGGCGATGCTGTGGTCACACGCTCAACAGCTGTGCTGTGCGCTCATGCTGCGAGCGCCAGCCTTAGTTGCTCACACACTACTGAGGCTCCCACACCCGGGAATGTGGGCCATGATTTTTTTTAAAGATGGCGTCTGTTTACAAGAGCCCTGAGGAAGCTGATGTGAACCCCATGTAGCCGCGGGAGTTTTGAATGGAACATGAAAAATACAAATACCCGGAGGCGTGTTGCGCAAACCAGACGTGAGCCTGCAGGCACGTTGCGCAGTTTAAGGGTTAAGTACATATGAATGAATCTTCTGGAGGTTGATCTGGGCTTTATAGTTTTTCTGCAGTCTCCTATGTCCCACTATACACAATGAGGACATTCAAAAAGATCCCCATTGTATTAGAGTAATTGATGGCCTTACCTGGGTGTTGCCTAGTTATCCTTGGGAACAGCAGAACATTACATAAGGCAACAACAGAATGACAGCATTCAGAAATGGTTATGCAGTTAGGTGATATTCATAAATTTTAGGATAGCAATTTGATTGTACATTTCACAACATATTTTTCGTTTGTAAAATATGCTTTCATATTACAAAGTATATTACTGTATAACATATCATTGCATACACAAGAATTACAATTAACTCACTGGTATATGTACTTGCCTGTAATGTTACTGTAGCAGGTTCAACAGATTCATCATTACATGTATGATTCTCTGTACAGTCATTCTTCTTTAGAGTTTTTTCACCAATCACTGATGCATCTTGCTGTGTAGGGTGAGGCTCATGGTGAGAATTTTGTTTATTACACTGTACAGGTGATGTATGCTGGACCTCAACATTCTTGACACTATCACTGCTAACATCCTTCACTTTAGTCTCCTTTATATCATTCTCATTTTTTTTAATTACCAATGTAACTTCAGATTTATTTTCATTATTTTCTCTTATTTCTACATGTCCTGTGGCTTCCGTGTCCACTATATGCAAGCCTTCTTTTGTTTTGTTTTTATCTTCTGCAGCAGCATCTGGCAAACTAATCCTGTGGAAATTGTGGCAGGATAAATTATCACATACTGTAATAGTTCGTTTCAATACAAAAAACATTTAAATATGACTCGGAAAAGTCTGGAAGCTGTTGCTGGGAGGGAAGAACACAGCCCAGGTAAGTGGAATCGGCAGGCAACAGCACAGCCCAAATCACATGCACGGATACCTCCTCCCCAGGCTAAGATGCCAAATAGGAAACAATAATGTTATACCAAGAAATCAACCCTGAAATAACCAGCCACAGGTCAGAGAGCTACTTGATTCTGCAAAAAAAATTTGCTCAACCAGCAGATAGCAGAGTCAACTAGAAACAAAAATGTCCTAGTTCTGATCTTCAAAAACAATGAAGATATAATCATGGACAGTCTCGGATACAGTACCACCTTTTTCAGACCTACCTGTGTACAGGAGTCATAGTAGATGTGTAGAAAAAGGCTAACATAGTTCCAAAATACAAAAGTGGCAGCAGGGAAGACCCCCTCAATTATAGACCTGTATCATTGACAAGTGTAATAGTCAAAATATGGGAAAAAATAATAAAAACTAAATGGGTAGAACACCTGGAGAGAAATGATATAATATCAGACAGACAGTATGGTTTTCGATCTGGAAGATCCTGTGTATCGAATTTACTCAGTTTCTATGCTCGAGCCACAGAGATTTTACAGGAAAGAGATGGTTGGGTTGACTGCATCTATCTGGACCTAAAAAAGGCTTTTGACAGAGTTCCATATAAGAGGTTGTTCTGGAAACTGGAAAATATTGGAGGGGTGACAGGTAAGCTTCTAACATGGATGGAAAAAAAAAATTCTGACTGATAGAAAAATGAGGGCAGTAATCAGAGGCAATGTATCGGACTGGAGAAATGTCAAGTGGAGTACCACAGGGTTCAGTTCTTGCACCGGTGATGTTTATTGTTGACATAAATGATCTACCAGATGGAATACAGAATTATATGAACATGTTTGCTGATGATGCTAAGATAATAGGAAGGATAAGAAACTTAGATGATTGTCATGCCCTTCAAGAAGACCTGGACAAAATAAGTATATGGAGTCCTACTTGGCAAATGGAATTTAATGTGAATAAATGCCATGTTATGGAATGTGGAATTGGAGAACATAGACCCCACGCAACCTATAAATTATGTGAGAAATTTTTAAAGAATTTCGACAAAGAAAGGGATCTAGGGGTGGTTCTAGATAGAAAAATGTCACCCGAGGACCACGTTAACACTATCGCTCACCCAACACGCGCGCGGTCAACTTAGAGATCATGGACCCAACATGCGGGCGAGCGTGCGGGCAAGCACGCGGCGACGCCTAAATGTGTATACAGTATCCACTCAATTTAACGGCCTCTTTTATACCGATCTGCCGGTATTAACGACCGGTTTGTTAAGCAAAAGTCTTTGTTTTCTTATTAAATACCTTTTATAGTACTGTATAGGCACTAGGTATTTTTTTTTCCCACGGACCTAGAATGTACTCCGCCGGGCCATGTGTTCCCATTGTTTACTGTGAACTCGCGCGGCTAGCTTCAATTGTGAAGGATATTACTGTACTGTTAATTGTGATCTTTTTAATTTACAAAATGCCAAAAGTTACCTAAAGGAAGCGCCTGATGGTTGCACAGAAGCTGGAGTTAATTAAGAAACTCGATAAAGGATATTCTCATGCACGAGCAGCAGCAGAGTTTAACATCGGGAAAAGTACAGTAAGTGACATCAAGAAATAGAAGGAAACTCTATTAAAATATGTGAGCACAACAGAGTAATTACCTAAGTGTAGTTACAGGATGAGAGCTACGCTCGTGGTGTCCCGTCTTCCCAGCACTCTTTGTCAAATAACGCTTTGAAACTACTGACGATCTTGGCCTCCAACACCTTCTCACTTAACTTGTACCAACCGTTTACCACTCTATTTGCAAAGGTGAATTTTCTTTTATTTCTTCGGCATCTGTGTTTAGCTAGTTTAAATCTATGACCTCTTGTTCTTGAAGTTCCAGGTCTCAGGAAGTCTTCCCTGTCGATTTTATCAATTCCTGTTACTATTTTGTACGTAGTGATCATATCACCTCTTTTTCTTCTGTCTTCTAGTTTTGGCATATTTAATGCTTCTAACCTCTCCTCGTAGCTCTTGCCCTTCAGTTCTGGGAGCCACTTAGTAGCATGTCTTTGCACCTTTTCAAGTTTGTTGATGTGTTTCTTAAGATATGGGCACCACACAACAGCTGCATATTCTAGCTTTGGCCTAACAAAAGTCGTGAACAATTTCTTTAGTATATCGCCATCCATGTATTTAAAAGCAATACTGAAGTTAGAAAGCATAGCATAGGCTCCTTGTACAATATTCTTTATGTGGTCCTCAGGTGATAGTTTTCTATCTAGAACCACCCCTAGATCTCTTTCTTTATCAGAATTCTTTAAAGATTTCTCACATAATATATAGGTTGTGTTGGGTCTATGTTCTCCTATTCCACATTCCATAACATGACATTTATTAACATTAAATTCCATTTGCAAAGTGGTGCTCCATATACTTATTTTGTCCAGGTCTTCTTGAAGGGCATGACAATCATCTAAATTTCTTATCCTTCCTATTATCTTAGCATCATCAGCAAACATGTTCATATAATTCTGTATACCAACTGGTAGATCATTTATGTAGACAATAAACATCACTGGTGCAAGAACTGAACCCTGTGGTACTCCACTTGTGACATTTCTCCATTCCGATACATTGCCTCTGATTACTGCCCTCATTTTTCTATCAGTCAGAAAATTTTTCATTCATTTTAGAAGCTTACCTGTCACCCCTCCAATATTTTCCAGTTTCCAGAACAGCCTCTTATGTGGAACTCTGTCAAAAGCCTTTTTTAGGTCCAGATAGATGCAGTCAACCCAACCATCTCTTTCCTGTAATATCTTTGTGGCTCGATCATAGAAACTAAGTAAATTCGATACACAGGATCTTCCAGATTGAAAACCATACTGTCTGTCTGATATTATATCATTTCTCTCCAGGTGTTTTACCCATTTAGTTTTGATTAGTTTTTCCAATACTTTCACTATTACACTTGTCAATGATACAGGTCTATAATTGAGGGGGTCTTCCCTGCTGCCACTTTTGTAGATTGGAACTATGTTAGCCTGTTTCCACACGTCTGCTACGATTCCTGTACACAGGGATGCCTGAAAGATCAGGTGAAGTGGAATGCTGAGCTCAGATGCACATTCTCTCAGAACCCATGGTGAAACTCCATCTGGGCCAGCTGCTTTGTTCTTACTGAGCTCCTTTAGCATATTTTCCACTTCATATCTAGACACCTCTATCCACTCTATGTTGTTCTCTGGAATTCTTATCGTGTCTGGTTCTCTGAAGATTTCATTTTGTACAAACACACTTTGGAACTTTTCATTTAATGTTTCACACATTTCCTTTTCATTTTCCCTGAATCTGTTTCCCATTTTCAACCTCTGGATATTATCCATTACCTGCAATTTGTTGTTTATGAATTTGTAGAATAGGCCCGGTTCTGTTTTACATTTATCCGCTATCCCTTTTTCAAAATTTCTTTCTGCCTCTCTCCTTACTGCTGTATAGTTGTTTCTCGCATCTTTGTATCGCTGGTATGTTTGGGGGTTTGGCCTCTTCCTATACTGATTCCATTTTTGTGTCTTTTGGTCTCTGGCCCTCTCACAATTTCTGTCGAACCAATCCTGTTTTCTGGCCCTGCCTCTCTGTTTTGGTATGAATGTTTGTGTGCCTTCCTCGTATATTTTTAAAAATTTGGCATACATTTCATTTACTTCCCTGCCTAGCAACAATTCTGTCCAATTACACTCATTAAAAAAATTTCGAAGTTCCCCATAGTGACCTCTCCTTAAATCGAGTTTATCAACTGTTTCAATGTCCCCATTTTCTTCTAGATGATATCTTAAAGCATAATCAATGTCTAACAGGACGTGATCACTCTTTCCCAAGGGAGGAAGGTACTGGATGTCAAATATCTCTTCTTCTTTCCTGGTGAATACTAGATCCAGTAATGACGGTACATCTCCTTCCCTCATTCTTGTGGCCTGCTTTATGTGTTGATACAAGAATGTCTCCAGAATGAGGTTCACAAATCTGCATGTCCAAAAGTCCTCCGTTCTTGCTTCATAGGCCTCCCAGTCTATTGCTTTAAAGTTGAAGTCCCCCAGTATCAACAGTCGTGATTTATCTTTATCTGCTTGTACAATAATATCTCTCATGACCATTATGAGGCCCTCTCGTTTGTCATCCAGTTCTTCCTTTGTCCATGTGTTGCTTGCTGGTGGGCTGTAGGCATTTACAATTATCAGCTTATCATCCTGGTTCCAGATCTGCAATGCCATTATGTCAATATCTCGAGGGTTTTCAAATATTAACTCTCTTACCTTCAGGTGTTTTTCCACCAGTGCAGCCACTCCTCCTCCGTTCCTAGTTTTCCCGTCACGTCTCCAAACTGAATAGCCTCTTGGGAATATGACTTCATTTATTATATTTCCTTCAAGTTTCGTCTCTGATAATGCGACAATATCTGGGACCCTAAGCTGGATTATATCTTGCAACTTCATAGTTTTTGACCTCACTCCATCTATGTTGGTATATACAATTTTCAGGAACATGTTCCCTTTTACTTTGCTCTTTACTCCCCCTTCCACTACTTATCTTGGTGCTTTGTTTTTATGTACCATTTCACAAGCTTTCCAGTCCCTGTCACTTTGTAGAAAAAAGAACTTCTGTCTTCTTCATTTCTCTCTCCATTTAGACGTTTTGCCTCAATTAGATTCATTTTCAGCTTTTCTCTGTCTTCCTTGGAGAGGTCTTGTCTTATTGACCAAAGTTTGTCAACCTCATCACTCTGCAATTTCCTGGCATTTCTTAGCACTTCCATCATGTTTTTCACTCCATTAAACGTCACCCTTAAGGGGCGGTTCTTGTCTTTCTCATATTTTCCTATTCTTCT